CCTGTCAGTGTTTCAAATTTCACGTTGTAAGCTCTTGCTGCTGACACAGTGACAAAAAGTGACCCAAACCATTTCCTTTCCATCTTTCTTTGTTTCTCTGATAATTTACAGATAAGTCTTAATAGCAGTTGCTCACGTCACCCCTTAGAAATCTGTATACTCTCCTCTCCTCGTTATTTTTGTGTAGATTGACAAAGGCTGCCGGACCAAAACGTTATGTTATTTGTGTTGTTTTGTGTAGATTTTTCTGCTTCCTCATTTTGTTGAGCTTTTTAAATCAAATTTCTCTGGAATGCCCAAAAGCATGTCGTAAGAGTTGACTAATTGGGAGTTTCCTTCGGAGTACATCTGCTTGAGAGACAAGCAACAAACAGTCTGCATGCAAATGAGTCAGACCTGTGAAATGGATATGCATGCAATACTTAATTTATGGAACAGGAATAGAGTCAAGAAGTGGACAAACAACCAGAACTTTCTGCCAGAGTTTACAGCCGGTGAACGCAAAGAAGAAGAAGAAGAATAGCTGAGCCTTAGATATATGTGATGACAACAGTGGTCCTGAAACCTGATGCACTTACTGTGGAGGAATCTTCTCAAACGTTCGTTAATGAGCTCTGTCAAGAGTACTATTAGGATTGATTTTCATTTCTCTAAGGCTGTTCTTAATGCCATCACTCTTTCTTTTTCGAGGTCAACCGATCATTTTATATTTGTTGTAATGTTTCAATGTGGCTCTCTGTGGTAGATAGTACCAGAGAATTCTTGTTAGATGTCTAAACCACTTTATTTGTTGTTCTTTGATAACCTGTAAGACTGGCTTTATTCCTAGCATTCATCTGATTTCGGGATTTCGTATCCTGTCTTTCCTTGAAACTCCTGCAGCTCTTCTAAGGCATTTCTAGTTTTCTAGTAGATTGAATTAAAGTGTGACAAAATTATGTTTGTCTAAAAAATGTGTCACCAGGGTGAGAAGTTTTGAAAGCTCTGCTCTAAGAGATCAGAGCAAGATAGCCTGAGATAGGTGTCTGTGAGAAAGATAGGCACCTAACAAATCTGTACAGACTGACTACCTTGTTGTGACCCACTTTTGTGAGCAGCTACTATGTGCATGATAAAGCTCCTATGTTGCATCATCTTTTGAATAGCTTTTTAAATTTTGGTTGCAGCTAGTTTTGTGCAGCAGCTGTTGCTTTCTGACTGTTAGTTTCCAGTGTAGTTTGTGTTCATTCATGAATTGCTAGAGTTTCCAGTGTAGTTTGTGTGTTCATTAATGTAATTATTAAATACTGGATATTTACTTACATAGCCAGCTGTCTTCAGGTTTATGTACGTATGTTTATATTGGTGAATAAACTGTAGATTTTTTTAAAGATGTTTTTAAAGAAGTAATAGTTGTGGTAGTAATTTAAACAACAATATCCTTTTCAACCTATCTGAGTTATAACTGAGATAAGAGTTTTGTTTTCTGTAACATATATTAATGCTTGTCAATTATTGTTGGTATTTTAACATTGCATAGATTATGTATTCTAACAAATTGTGGGAGCATTTATTGTTAAGTTTAACATATTTAGTCGCCGTGGCGTAGTGGCTAAAGGCTCACGTGGGGATCAGAAGGTCGTGGGTTCGCTTCCTGGCGGAGCCGGGGAGCAAACAAAAATTGTCTTGACTCCCACGTCGACCCAGCCTTGAGTGGGTGCCGGGTGCAGTCCCGGGAAGTAAAGGCGGCCAGTGATGCTGACCAGATCACCATTCTTGTGCCATTTAGTCTATAAAAAATATAGGTCTTGCCTTATATGCCCCTATACACCTTAAGGTATGGAAAAGGGTCCTTTACTTATTTTATTTAAAAAATAAAACATATTTTAAGTGTAATTTTAAATAATTATGATAATCATTTTGTGTAATAATTATAATAGTAATATTGTAAAGTCTTTCATTGGTGATATTTATAGTAATCTGGGATATCATTATTCTGTCTTCAGATACATTAACATCTCATATGCAAACATTTGTTCTTGTGATGTACTGTTTAATTCTTCCCTCTAGTTCTTTGTCCCTGTCTATTGCCAGCATGTTTTCTGTTTTGTTAGTCTTATTATTGTTACAACAGGTCATCTATTTTAGAAGTAGTATTTCTTAGTTGGTCTGTTTTTTGTTCTTCAGAATGGAGATGTGTGTCATAAATTAAGAGCAGAATAAGCCAGCTTAAGGCTAAATTTTCGAAGAAGGAAAGAACCATCTTGTGGAACAGGTTCCTCGTTTTGCGATGTCCGAAAGAGAGTAACTAAAACATGTGGTTGAGTGTTAGAGACCTATAATATTGATATATGGCAGTGAATAATCGAACGTCAAATGCCCTCAAATTAGAAAAGAACCTGGAGGATAGAAGACTGTGGTTTCTCAGAGAAATGTTAATCCCTGGTATTGCCCAGAGTAACTAACGACGATTGCTGCAAGGAAGCTAATTGAAAGAAGATTAATATTTTCAGCTGTAAGAAAAAGATAAAGCACTGTTTCTTGGGTAATGTGATGAGGGGGAGGCTTTGGAGAATAATGTGGTCACTGGGAAGATCAGTGGTAGAATAGTACACAATAAATTCACGATAGCGGTATCGACCATGTTGAACCTGTGGGAAAGATGCCACAGACAAGCAGAACAACGTAATCCTGGACTGCCACAAATTTTAAAACACTAAGGCAGGACCTTCTTGACCAGAAAGAACAAAAGTGGAACTTAAACTCTGGGGACCATTGAACAAAAAAAAAAAAGGGAAAAATAAAAACAAAAATAACTAAATGCTGACAGTTGAAGCTATATGGGAGAAAAAACTGCTGATATAAACACTTATTTCAGGTGAACTAAATAAAAAGAAGAAGAAGAACGGTAGAAGAGAGAAAGGCAGACCGAGAGAGAAGATGACGGAAGAATTGCAACAATGGCATGGAGGGATATCATTAGTGGAAGTGATGCAGAGGACAAGGGACCAAGATCTGTGGAGATGCATGAACTCCTACACCAGTCAGCAGGACACGTGGTGAATGAACGAACAAAAAATTTTTCAGTGGGTCACAAATTAAGCATGCATTCACATTTTACGTTCTGCCCTTCCTAGCACCTATCTTTCACACAGCAGTTGTATTTTATGTGATTATGAGAATGGAGCCCTGGAACCCACGCACATATAATATAGGGATTTGAATCCCCTAAAAACTTAGATAAAAAAAAATTGTACAGATCATCTTAGCTTAACATTGGAGCAGGCAAATATCTTGGGCCGGTTATTTCCAAACTGTGCACCGCGACGCCACAGGGGAGACGTGACCTCTTCACAGGCACGCCATGAAATACACGAAGATACACAAGTTTTTTTGGTGTTTTTTTTTTATCTCTTAAATACGAATGATCATACCTTTACTTAGGTTAGGGCGGCGCGGAAAAAGTTTAATTGAAAAAAAAGGCGCTGCGACTTAAAAAAGTTTAGGAAACTGTCCTGGGAAAAACAAGACAGTTGGCAGGGTTTTGATCACATCACCCACTGAGCGATGACTGTCTTTAAATACATAGAGGCTAGTATCGTATGACAAATATGCCACAGAGCAGGAAATAGGGTCCTTTACTTTTTAGCATAAATTTAAACAAAGACCTGCGTTAGTGCAGGTGGCTGGATGCTCACCTGCTTGCCCGAAAGATAAAGCCACGACTGCCAAAGGTTCAGATATGAAGCTAGACTCATATTTTGATAGACAAGTTGTCACTCTCTGAGTGATGTGATCCCTATCAGGCTAGTCCGCCTTTACTTCCCATGATTTTTTCTGGTACCCATTTTAGGCTGGGTTGACCTGGGATCCAAGGTCAATTCTAAAAAAAAAAAATCCATTTTAGTATGGATTAAAACCCAGGAACTTCAGGCCGACAGGTGAGCGTCCAACCTTTTGCAGTTTGATCCTTTAGTAAGAAACTTCATTGACCTTGGTCTGGCTAATCATATCATTGTGTAAATTCTTCACGTTTTGGCTCCAGGGCTTCATTTTGGAGAAAAAAGAACAGAACCACTGCACCCATAATAAGCATGTCATAGGAGGCAACTTATTAGAGGTGTTTCCTTCAAAGTCAGAGTGCAATTTTCAGAGAGGCAAGGAACTAACTTCTTCTTCTTTTGTCAAAATCTGCTTGTTCCGCTAGGCGTCGCAGTCTATCAGATGATCGGCACCGAGCGGGCCCGGGCCCCCCCATTCACTTCATATGCCGTGATGTTATGAACTCTCAAGTTGTCCGTGACTCCTTCAATCCATCTTCTTCTTGGTCTTCCCCTGCCTCTTGGTGTTTCGATTAAGGAACTAACAGTCTGCATACAAATTAGTCAAATCTGTCAAAGGGATGTGCATGCAAAACTCAAGTCTGGATCTTCTTCTACTTCTTCTTCTTCATCTTCTTCTTCTTCTTTCATTCGCTTGAAATAGATGATCTATATCTGTAATGTTGTTTCTAGTATGAACTTCACTGTATTTTCTAATTCACCCAGCGACCCGTACAGTTTGACTTACACCGATGTTTCTCTAGGCCAATTAGTGGGTGATATCCTCAGTATCCTGTCAACTGCCTGAACACCCTAGTATATTTTCTGGTGTGTCTGTTGTAGGTTGAGTAACATAAGGACCCAGATCAGTTTTCCCCAAAATCCTCAGTAGGGATTCTAGTTCTTGGCAACCAGGTTGGCTGTTGAGCATGTTATTCACTGCCCTGTTGTGGCTATCTTTTACATATACTTAAAATTCACACATGCACACACGCACACACAGACACACGTACACAGACACATGCGTGCACACACACACACATACATACTGTGAACCACCAACCATATTATGAAAGAAAGAACATGTTTTAAAAAAGGAATTAAATAGGAATAATTGGTACATTTTCCAGAATGCTGCATTTTTGGAACACATTTCAACCGTTTGAAGATGGAGACATGGTTGCAAGTTCTTGATTAGTGATGACTTCACAAAAACTGGAAGGGCTGGAGCTCCAGTTGGCAGAGGTATGATGTTTTCTTTACTGTAGTTTAACGCTTAAATGGAATTATTAGTATTTTTTGGTGACCTTGCAAAATGGTTGAAGATATTTTAAGGAATTTTTTTTTTTTTTTAGAATTTCCAAAATAACATAACCCTTGACCCATTAGGGTCATGGAGGTGTATTGATGAAAGCACTAGCACATAAAACCCGCCATCTTTCTCGGACTTCCGCTTGATGAAAAAGTGTATGATAACTTAGTCCTGTCCATTTCTTGATGTTGTCATTCCAGGTTCTTTGCCCCCCTCCTCTTCGACTACTCCCCAATGTTCCTTGAAGTACAGTCTTTCCAATCAAATCAAGTCTTATCATGTCTCCAAACATTCCCAAAATACAGGTCATTGGCTTAATTTTTTCTAGGTTACTCGGGCAAAAGGGTTAAAATGATTGTCTTGAAATGATCATGACAAACTAGATGTTATCAAGGCCCTTTGGGAGCGAGTGAACTGTGCAGAGGCACAAACAGACCATCACAGTCTGAAGAGAATGGTCCAGTGGGGAGTGTCCAGGGGATATGGCCAACACTGAACATTCAGGAGACAGGCAAGACAGACTTACAGACTGCTTCTGTTACCTTCGTTTGTTTTAGTATCCAGAAGCCATGAGTTGTTAACCCTTAGGCTCAGTATTATGGATATCGCAACCTTTCGGCCTTGATTCCATTGTAAATACCGTAAATCTGGGAGAAATGTGGCTTTCCTGCGTACCCCCGGGATTGAACCCGGACCACAAGAAGTTCGTCACCCGGTCTCCGCACAATCCGGTTTAAATAGATGAAGAAGAAGAAAAAATTAATTAACAATAACAGGCAGACGTTATCTCGTCATAAATATAGGCATCTTCGTGTAGCAGGTCCTTTGCAAAACATTGCTGTCATCTCTGCAAGCTGGAAAGCCACTCAGTTCCATTGCAGCGTCCCATCTTATGAACTTCTTCCCAGGGTGTCCCCAGTCTGTAAGATTGACACCAGTGATGTAAAAAGCCACTCTACGGATGGGAATCAAACAGGAGCTAATTCCGGAAAATCCCACTCAACCCTATAGAAGTTATTTTGGGGCACTCTGTGATTTTTGAGTAACTTAATTTCCAGTGAATAATATCATTATGACATGACAATAAAGCATAAATTACACACTGTTTTTAGTGGCAGTATCTTATTCTGTTATCTTAAAGTTTTCGCTTCGCTAGTTTGCTTTATACTTTTGAGTAAATTGTTATTGTTAAGCAACTTTTATAATCTTCTTAGGTTGACATGCTGACCTCCATGTATGCCAATCCAGGGGAGTTGATTCTTGATGATCCAACAGCATTAGAGCTTATCCGTGCAGTCGTATCAGGAAATCTGGCCCTGGAGGAGTTGGAAAGCAGGCTGGGGTTCATCATAAAAGTTTGCGTGGAGAATGATGGCAAAGTACGTGTTGAGTGAGTGGTAGTAAAAGTTTGTGTGGAGAATGATGGGAAAGTACGTGTTGAGTGAGTGGTAGTAAACATTTGTATGGAGACTTGAGTTCAGTCAAGAATTGACATCACAGCACTCGGGGCATTCCCATGCATGCTCAGTCCTCATCTTCAGCAGCCAGCGCAGAGTTCAAATACTAATGATACCGGTCGTAATCTGGTTATATGTCCATCTTGCCTTTCCTCTGAGTGTAGTGAACTGGCCAAACCCCCTTGTTACACCCAGGTGCCTCATTCTCTCCAGGCCATAATAATCTTGTTTCTCTTCTTACTCCGTTACTTGTTCCCAAAGAGCTCCCAGATTGTATGGAGGATGATAGCAAAGTACATGTCGAGTGAGTGGTAGTAAAGGTTTGTATGGAGGATGATGGCAAAGTACATGTCGAGTGAGTGGTAGTAAAAGTTTGTATGGAGGATGATGGCAAAGTACATGTCGAGTGAGTGGTAGTAAAAGTTTGTATGGAGGATGATGGCAAAGTACATGTCGAGTGAGTGGTAGTAAAAATTTGTATGGAGGATGATGGCAAAGTACATGTCGAGTGAGTGGTAGTAAAAGTTTGTATGGAGGATGATGGCAAAGTGCATGTTGAGTGAGTGGTAGTAAAAGTTTGTGTGGAGGATGATGGCAAAGTACATGTTGAGTGAGTGGTAGTAAAAGTTTGTATGGAGGATGATGGCAAAGTACATGTCGAGTGAGTGGTAGTAAAAGTTTGTATGGAGGATGATGGCAAAGTACATGTCGAGTGAGTGGTAGTAAAGGTTTGTATGGAGGATGATGGCAAAGTACATGTCGAGTGAGTGGTAGTAAAAGTTTGTATGGAGGATGATGGCAAAGTACATGTCGAGTGAGTGGTAGTAAAATTTTGTATGGAGGATGATTGCAAAGTACATGTTGAGTGAGTGGTAGTAAAAGTTTGTATGGAGGATGATGGCAAAGTACATGTCGAGTGAGTGGTAGTAAAAGTTTGTGTGGAGGATGATGGCAAAGTACATGTTGAGTGAGTGGTAGTATTCTGGGTTATTTCCTTGCGGTACACAACGGTACATGGTACCTGCACTTTTTTTTAAGCATCATTTTTTTTCAGTGCTGCTGGAATAAACATTTTGTGATGAATACCGGCACCATTATTCAGGTACTCTAGTTAGTACAAACACTTATTTTTATAGAAAAAAGCCCTGGTAGTAGCCAGTCTTCTTCTGTTTTTTTGCATTCACCCTTGAAAGGGCAGTTGGTATATTGTGTTGTGGTTTACAGCTAGGCTATGATAAGTCTTGCAAGAAATAGGATATGTAATTTAATACTAAAAAGACAGAAATAATGATAGATTGCGTACTGGATGCAACAGACTCCGGGGATATGTACAAGAAATTCAAGTTTGGGGATTGAGAACTTCTTTGCCTGTGTGGACAAGCACCACAGCGTACTGAACCTGTGCTACAGACATGCTCTGTACCTGCAGTAGAGAGATATTCCAGGTTTGGCTGCAACCTGATTAAAAGTCTGCCTCTTTAATGTTGAATTTCTTCCAGAACCTCTACAAACCCCCTGTTGAATTAGTCTTTCAGAGAATCATTGGTCTGATTGATTCATTCTTCTTCTTCTCCTACTCCTTGTCCTCCTCTTCTTTTTCTTTCTTCTTCTTCGTTTTCTTCTTCTTCATCTATTTATACCCTTATAGAGCTTAGACTGTCAACCAGATTGCATGAGGTTATTCTGTCCGTTGCCATTGTATGCATCTCACTCATCCCACATGCTTATAATCTTTTTCACCGTAGTCTAAGTCTTCTCCATGTATTTTTAGTTCTCTTTTATTTGTGGGTTACTGTGCAAAAAAGTTCTAGATATAATATCCATCCCTGTGTGGGTTCCGTGGCCCCATTATGGGGAGAAAAAAAATAATAGACTCACTGCCCGTGACAAGCATATCGTAAGAGTTGTCTCATTAAGGGTGTTTTCTTCGAAGTCAGAATGCATCTGCCTGAGGGGTGTGAAACAAATAGTCTGCATACAAGTAAGCATCTGCAAAATGGATGTGCATGCAAAACTGTGATTCAGGAACAAAACCAAAGTCCAGAAGTGGGCGAACAACCAGAATTTTCCACAAGAGTTTACGGCCAAAAAATGCTAAGAAGAATAATAATTTCATTAAATTTTCTCAATGTGTGTCATATTCAGTGCCAGCATCTTTTCCTCACCTTGATTTACTGGAATTTTTTATACTTCTTTCCCATAGCTCAGAATAGCGATTCTGTTTCAGTTGTATTGTATGAATATTATTTCTAGAGCCTGACAGTGGAGCTTGTGTGTAATCTACCCCATGAATATCCATTTGTGAGGCCACAGATATTTACCAGAGCACCAGACATCACCAGGGAAAGACATAAACAGCTCAGGGAGGAATTAAACAAAGGTTAGAGTTGACATATATATATAGGATTTCTCTTGTGGCTTCTGGGGCCTCTTATAGGTTTTGAGGCCACATTTTGATGACCCAAAAAAAAAAAAAAAGGATAGAACCTCTGCCACCCTAACAATTGTGTCAAAAAAAGTAATTGGTTAGGCATTTTCTAAAGTCGGATGCGTGGAGCTGAAAGGCACATATGTCGTTATCTTGCTATAAACCACAAAACAACAGACCAACTGCACTTTTAAGGGCGAAGGCAAAAAAAGAAGATAAATATGGGGTCAGCTATAGTTAGTTAGTTAGTTAGTTATTCCTCTTGTGCCAAAGATGACGCATAGGGCAGAGGTCATAGCTTTCCACGTCTGTCGGTTCTTTGCCACTTGATGTAGGTCTTGAGTGCGACTGAGACCTATGGTTGAGCTCTCCCTTGTGATGGTTCTACGGAGAGTTTCTTTTGGTCTTCCCTGTTTTCTTTTACCCTCTGGTGACCATAAGAAGGCTTGGTGGGGAAGTCTCTGTATGTCCATTCTGAGTACGTGACCGATGTAATTCCAGCGACGCTTTCTAATAAAATCAGACACATATTTTTGTTTTGTTTCCTGTCTTATAGATGTATTGGACCTAAAGTCCGACCAGTGAACATTCAATAGCTTTCGGAGGCATCTATTCTCGAAAGCGACTAGTTTCTTATCGATTGATACTGATGATTTCCAACTCTCACAACCATAAGTTAGCACTGGGATCACACAGGAATTGAAGACCTTAAGTTTCGTGTTGTCAGCTATACATGATAGCAAAATATAGGCCAGCTTGGCACGAGCTGGTTGAGGACCTTTGCTCCCATGTGGGATTAAGGGCAGAAAAGATTTTTTTAATTAAGGTATTTGTTTTTGAAAGCATTTATCTTTTGTTCATGTTGATTTGATTTGAACCAACATCACAGCACTCGAGGCATTTCCTTAAGTGCTCCGTCCCCATCTTCAGCAGCCAGCGAAGAGTTCCGATACTAATAGTTCCTGTAGCATTCCTATCGAACGTCCGTCTTGCCTTTCCTCTGAGCCTCGAGCATCTGCCAGAACCTCTCGTCACTCCCCCCGGCAACAATCTCACCAGACTGTGGTGATTCATTTGCTCCTCCGAACTGTACACACTCTCCCACAAGGCACTAACCACGTCTGCCCTATCATGCATCAGTATTCCACCAAGTTGTGCAGAGCCAGTCAGTCTGTCTGCCTGTTCATTTCCCAACACACCAGCGTATCCCAGTGAAAAAATCGAGACAATACTCCTCACCCGTGTCCTCCGCAGCGAGGCATGCCACTCTGCACGAAGCATGCCTCTCCTGATCTTCCTCAATATGCTGAGTCAGTTACAATAACAATGTGTGTGTGTGGTGTGTTCTCTAACCAGGGGAAAGCTGCAGTGACCACCTCCACCTCCATTTTTAAGCTGGATGTTGTGGTATCATATGCTAGGCTCTACTGCACCAAACGTCAACCATTAATTTTTTAAACTTTTGTTCATGTCTCTTGTAGTACTCCAGCTTTCACTGGCCTTTGTTACACTTGATATACATAAGAGTTTACAGCACAGTTGCGATGTCTGTGTCTTCTGGACATCAAGCTATGTTTTAGGGGTCCACTGACTTCCATCAGTGTTGGTAGCTGTTGCTGTCTTTATAATCTAGTACCTTCGTGTGGGTTCCGGGGCCCTTTTGTAGGGAAAACAAGAATAGACCCACTGCCTACCCAAAAGCATGTCATAAGAGTCGATTAATTGGGAGCTTCCTTCGAAGTCGGAGTGCATCTGCCTGTAAGGCAAGGAACCAGCAGTATGCATACAGATAAGTCAGATCTGTCAAACGGATGCACACGCAACAATCAGGTTCTGGAACAGGACTGCAGTATAAAAGAAAGTGGATGAACAGCCAGAACTTTCCACCAGAGTTTACAGCTGGTGAATGCGAAAAAGAAGAAGAAGATGATCCACTCTATTTCCCCATGGAAACTGATGAACATTGAATGGGAGGATTTCAAGAAAGGTGTAGAAATAAAAGAAATGTCATGACATCCGCTGGTATCAGCTGTTATAAGACAAAGAGGATAGTAATATACTGGGCACATTCTGAGAAGAAGTGAGGAGAGAATAACCAAACAGGCATTGAAGTGGGAAACAAATGGATTCACGAAATGTCCAGGAGAAACCCTAAAATGAACATTGTTGAGCGAGGCCAAAGCTGCTGGACTGGATTGCATCCATGATATCAAAAAGACTGCACATGATAGAATGGAATGGAGGAATAAACTTCAAACCCTTTGTTACATATAATAGCACTGGATGATGGTGTTGATGATGATGATGAACAGACACAGCCCATTTTTGTCACTTGTGCAAAAATGAAGAAGAAGAACTGACAGACCTAATTAACTCTTTGAGTCCCAGAGGGTTTAGCATCACAGGCCCAGGGGGTAGTAAAGAGAGTCATAAAATCGGCGCATCATGCGTTCATTGGACTTCTAGGTAGGAACCTATGGACGTATGATGTGTTCCTTGGGACTCAAAGAGTTAATGATTGAATGAAATTATCTTTGTCTTAAAAACTGTCCATGTCACCCTATATGTAGCTTGTTTCTTTTGGTGAAACTGTGTCAGTCTTGTATGTTCATGAGCAGAAATGGATAGTTTACTTTTTTTTTCTTTCAGGTGCAGACATTGATAATTTAATGTTGTTATTATGAATAACATTAATAACCTAATGTTAATGTTATAAATAAATTTAAAATGTAGCATTGTTTATGTGAAGGTGGATAATACATTTGGGTTTGTATGTACAGAGTAGATAGTGGGTTTTATTTTTACTTTTTGGAAAAAGGAAAGGGGGGGGGGGGGGGGGGTCCTTATGACCAAATACAAATTGTCAAAACTGACCTAGGCTCCCAGGGCAACCTAGCCAGGAAATATTCTGGGAAGTAAAGGCAGCTGGCATGATTTTGATTATAGAGCCCACAGGGTACCAGTTGTCTGTAATAGTATATGTCTAGTATTAACTCTGTGAGTCCCAAGGAACGCATCATACATTCATAGGTTCCTACCTAGAAGCCCAATGAACGCAAGATGTGCCGATTTTATGACTTACTTTTACTACCCCTGGGCCTTTGATGCTAAACCACCTCGGACTCAAAGAGTTAATATATGCCTGATATGCCACTAGTGTTTAAAAAAAAAGGCCCTTTACTTTTTACTTACAGGTGTAGATATAGGTTCTAATATATTTTGTTAACTTTCACAGACTGATAACATACCTTGTTAATGTGCAGAAATTGAAAATCAAGAAACTGGTGAGATAATTGTCGGAGTGGTGGTGGAGTGGTTGAAGAGAGCGCTTGTACACAGAACTACAGTACTTGGAGTCAAGCCAGTCCCACAAACATGAACAAAATAGGACATGTTTAGAGCAAGGAAGGTAAATAGATCATTCTTATCAAACTGTTTCTTCTTTAGGAACTGTGTTATGACTTATGAAAAAAAGAGTGTTACTGTGTTAGATCATACCACTTAGGACATTTCCATAAAGGCTCTGTTCCTGTCTAGCAGCAGAGGCAGAATTCCAGTTTTGATGGTACCAGTAACAGTCTGTATGTGCATCTCACCTCTCCCTTGATCACCTTTCCCTTGATCACCTTTCCCTTGATCACCTCTCCCTTGATCACCTCTCCCTTGATCACCTCTCCCTTGATCACCTCTCCCTTGATCACCCCTCCCTTGATCACCTCTCCCTTGATCAGGGCCCTTGATCACCTAGCCTTGATCACCAGCTCCTTGATTCACCTTTCCCTTGATCACCTCCAGCCATTGATCCCTCTCCCTTGATCACCTCTCCCTTGATCACCTCTCCCTTGATCACCTCTCCCTTGATCACCTCTCCCTTGATCACCTTTCCCTTGATCACCTCTCCCTTGAGTGCTGAGGATCTGCCAGATCCCCTGGTCACTCTTGGCTGCACCATTCTGTTCAAACATGATGATCTGTTTGTGCCTTCTCACTGTTTTTGCTTACAGAGGGCCTTAACATCTAGCTTGTCGTGCGTCAGTTTACCATCAGGTGGTGCAAAACCAGCCAGTTCCCTTCCCCCACCCTTCCCCTTCTAAATGCTATTGTTAACTAATGTAGTCGTATCCTGACCTGTTAAACTTTTGTGTAGGCACAAACTCAGCCAGTAGCATTAACTATAGTAAAGAAAAAGTTAAGATCCCATTTCACGATTTAGGCGCATCGGGCATTTGAGAAGAGCACCCATATTTTTACTGACCAATCGGTACAAGGTGGGTAATGTGGTCAGCATTAACTATATAACCTTGTAAAATAAATAATGAAGTGTTTGAGAAACAGTTTGGATTTTGGAATAATAGTGGCACTAGGAAGCCATAATTTGTCTAGAGATGCTGATTGAAAAATATATAGAAATTCAGAAAAGTATTTATGCATGTATAATAGATTATAAGAAGACCTTTGATAGAAAATGCAACATGAAAAGCTTTTTGCAGGCCTCCAAAATATAGGATTCAATCCAAAGGATATCAGGATTATTAGTAACCTATACTGGAAACAAACATCAACAGACAAAAAACATCACCTCACCACATATAGAGATAAAAAGAGGAATTCGTCAGGGATGTGTGTTATCCCCAAGCCTTTTCAAATTAAATACAGAAAACATTTTAAAACTAGTTGAGGAATAGCCTGGACTAAATATTAATGGAAGAACATTAAACAATCTGAGAAACGCGGATGACACAGTGTTACTGGCAGAAACCGAGCAGGAGTTACAAGAACTGGTGGGTCAAGGCAACAGGTGGAGTGCAGAGTATGGTTTAGATATTAGGATTTGAAAAACAGAAACTGGTAATTAACAGTGGAAAAGAGTGACTAACAGTGAACATTACAGTAAATGGAGAGGTATTAGAACAAATAACACGTTTATCCTATCTAGGACACATAGTAATAGATGCTGAAAGAAGTGAAACAGAAATCAAAAAGAGAATAGGAATGCTAAAACTGTCTTCAGTCAGACGTGCAAATTACTGACAGCTACATAGAACACTAAAAATGAGAATTGTCAACTGAAACATATACCCAGTCCTGCTATATGGTGCAGAAACTTGGACAATTAACAAGCAACTATAAAATCGAATTGAGCCTCTAGACTGTAGATCTATAGCAGAATAGGTCATATTTCATGGAATCAAAAACAATCCAGTACAGATGTGGAAAAACTATGAAGGAAAAGAAAATTACTGAAATAAATAAAAAATAGACAGTGAAAATACTTTGTTTACATTAAAAGACATAACATGCCTTAAAAAATCATACAAGAGGGAAAAGTCGAAGGCAATAGAGCAAGAGGTAGGCAGGGAGGACACATTAAGAGATGGATGAAGAGCAATCTAAGAGAGTGCACAACCAAGACAAGAGACAGAGACTGTTGGAGATCCATTGCAGACAACCTTCATTGTGGAGATGGCACCTGATTGATTGAAGCAGGTCACTATAGACAAGTAAGGAAAGTGACATTAACGAGAAATTGGACCCAAACGAAAGGGTCAATTTTTCATCTTCTCATGGCGAAAGGGTTAGTACATCTTTCGGCTGCTGTTATCAGAGTGCCTTAGTACTTTAACATACCAACAAGTTTTAGACTATCACTGTGTGGGTTCCAATTCCAATTTGGGTGATGTATGGTTGGGGGGAGGGGGGGGGGATAATACACCTACTGCACCTGACAAGCGGGCAGTGAAAGGTGACTAATTAGGAGTTTGTTGAAATCAAATATTTTGGGCTGAAAGGCACAGATATAACAGTCTAGATGAAAACATCAACACATTGTTCCCATAAGCCTCTTTTAAGGGTGAACACAGATGCAGGCATACTTAATAACTCAATGAACATGCTTAAGAAGAGCCAGACTGGGTTTTTGATACACAAACATATTGTAACACTAAACACTTTGCGAACGGCTGTCCTAATCTTCATCTTTATGCCGCGTCATGCAGGTGTTTGAAGCAGCCAGCCTGCAGGTTATCTTGCAGCCACTGCAGTTGCTATGGCTGGTCCAGTACTGGACGGAAGCAATTTTTTCACTGCCCTGGACAGTATACTTACCGGGAAGATGAATACTGCAAAAGACATACTTCCGTTACCCTGTCTAGGCTGGCGGACATTAGGTTGCCTCCTGGAGCTGCAAGTAATGAACATTTCACAGGGGAACAAGATGTTTGAATAATCAGCACATGACAAGCGTCATCAATCATTTTACACTTGTGGAGCTTTTGAGGAGTATATTGGAGCCCCTATGGATCTGTCTGCAATGCTGCGATGATAATTGTCACTAATCACTAACTAAGAAGACTTGTTCAATTTGCTTTGATATTACTATGGACAGAGTTACTATGGACAGAGTTTGTCAAAGAGCTTATGGATGATAATATTAGATTAAAAACAATCAGGATGTATGCCCATCCTCATCATTCATGTCTGCAGGACTGCAGTCTGAATATTTGACACCCATAAGCTCATACCCATATGCGGTAGAGGATAGTAAACACACTGCGGTATGGCCAACGCAGTGTGGGGACCTAGTATCCATCGGGATAAGTGGACACCTCTGGTGTCAGCAGGAGCATCACAGGGCAGGGCACTAACTTGTCCTGGCAATCTAAAAGGTTGCTAGAGGTTGATTACATAGTCTAAAGCCATGTGGATGGGGAAAGCAAGGGGAAACTGCCACATCATTATCCCAAGAAACTCATTATCGAAGCCAAAAACGAAACTCAAGATCTGATGGTGAGGCTCCCAGGCCAGACAGATCACAAACAGTAAAAGTCTATGGTGAAGCACCAGCAAGGAACTTAGCATTACAATTTTGAGAGCATGCATCTTCCCTATAGCAACATACAGAGAAATACTGTGGTCAAAGAAGAGAAGAAATACTGACATGTAAAAAAGTCTGAACATCAAGGAAGATTGGCTAATAAACAGAATCTTGTCTGGAAGCTGAAATATTTTATTCATATCAAGCACCATGGCGGATTGAAAGAAATAATAGCAGAAGGCATGGTACCAGGAAGGAGGGTCAGGGGCAGATCAACACGAAGATGGGCACCGGATATAAGTGACTACTTGAGTGTGAAAGTTCATGAGGCGATAGAGCTGGCCAGAGGCAGAGTTTCTTTCAGGCAGACCGTGATGAGAGCAGTGTTCTGCAAAGGACCTGCTACATGATGCTTAAAAAGCCACTTTTTGGATGTCAGTAAAAGAGGAACAGATCCCAGAGACCCTGTTCAGCCATCTATGAAACAGTTATAATGGAGCACCCTGTGGCTACAGAAAATAACCTGAAGACAAGCAAACAAGAGGTAGATGGCAATACAAGTGGGAGGATAAACATCAAATTATGGATAAAAAGCAGTCAGAGAGAGTGTATAACCAGAACAAGAGGCTGCTAGTGTTATAGATTTCATGTTGTCAACCTTCATTGTGGAGTTGGCACCTCAATTCATAGAAAAAAATCCCCCATGTATGTTCGTCCCATTGGGGTGGGGAATTGACCTACTGCCCCCTAACAAGCATGTCATAAAAGGCATCTGTTTATGAGTTTGCTGAAATCAGATATGTTGGGCCAAAAATCACATAAATCACAGCCTAGCTGTAAACCACAACACAACAAGCCAACTATTCTCTCAAGGTTGAATGCAGAAGAAGATAAAAACAAGGTTTTATTTAAAGGTAGTCTTGCATCTCCTTTTTTGAAGTGCCTAAACAAAGTTAGAGTCAACATCATTGTGCTGTGTTTTATTCCATATGGCATGGTTTCGCTCTGCAGAACAGCTAGACATCTGACGAAAGCGTCACACAAAGCATGTACACTATAACTCCAGCGACGATCCACAGGGATGTCCTTAAACATTGCACTTGTGAACCGAACAACGCATCTGTGAATTGAAGCCACGGCCTTGGAGTGCGAGGCAAAAAGCTTGGCCATTTTGTCACAGAGACTCCTTATTGCCTAAATAAAACAAACTGTGACTAGAAAAATCTTCAGAGGGAAGAAAACCTGATTGCCAATTACAGCCTTTATTATACCACTTTTACTGTGTAGGCGAGGGGGGGTTATCTTTGAGTCTAAAGATTTACGGCCGCATGGCTAGTGCTGTCGCCACAACTGTGCAGGTGAGGATTTTATTTAAGCCTGATTATAATAAACTCTTATTTCCATCTGTGGTTCATTAGGGACACACTTACAAGAATGTGGATCTATAGCCATCATATATTCAGCAAAATGAAGCGCAAAGAGATCCTAGACTGGGGTCATGAGCTAGGCTTGCGAGGCTTCTGTTTACCTGGCAAGCCTGGCATCATCTGTGCAGAGGGTGCCACTAGTGATGTCGATGAATTCTGGTACAGGGTCAGGAATTTGAAATGGAAGAGGATATCTATAAAAGAACATGAGGTAAGTGTTTACATCATTTGTTTTAGTTTAAATAATAATTTTATTCTACTGCTTCTGTTGTTCTTCTCCTCTTCGGTTCCTGCTCTTCTTTTTTTCTTCTTATTTTTCTTCTTTTCCATTCACCATTCTTCTTCTGCATTCAATCTTAAAGGGGCGGTTAGGAAGTTGGATTATGATTTGACAGCTTGGCTGTGATATCGACCCCTTTCGGCCCAACACACCTGATTTCAGCTGTCCAGTTCATCCTTGAAAGGGCACTTGACAGGTAGTTTTGTTATTTAGAGCTACGCATTTTGATCTAACACATCCAATTTTAGCAAACTGGTCGCCTTTTACAGCATGCTTGTTAAAGGAGAGCAAGTCTATTTCCACCACTCCCTGTTCCAAACAGAGCTCCAGAACCCACACAAAAAGAACAAGTTTATAAATTTTAATGATTAGCTTTCTGTTAAAAATATCTCTTATCCTATTTTCTGATACACTGTTTGGGAAAATTTAGTGGCAAATATTGAAAACCATTCAGTAGCATCAGTTTTACAGTTTTCAGTAATCTATCTGACTTGGGTAATTATTCTTAGCTTTCAGTAAACAATGTTACTGTTTTCAGTAACATAACTGTTATAATTTTAGGCTAATAGTTTCTTCTTCTCCTCTTCTTTTTCTTTGTTAACCTGCTGTAAGCTCTGGTAGAAAGTCCTGGTTGTTCGTCCATTTAGACTTTGTGCCAGGGCCTGAGTTTTGTGTGTACATCCATTTTACTGGCTTATTTGTGTGCAGTTGTTTGTTCCTTGCCCCTCTGGCAGATACACTCTGACTTTGTAGGAGGCTCCAATTAGAAGACCCCTACATCATGCTTGTTAGGGAGGCAGTGGGTCTATTCTTGTTTTCCCCACATTGGGACCCTGGAACCCACACGGGAAAAGGCTGTTAATTTTACTGCTTTCAGTAACATGTGTTATAGTTTGAGGCCATCAGTTTTACTGTTTTTAGTAACTTAAGTGTTATAGTTTAAGGCTATCAGTTTTACTGTTTTCAGTAACTTCACTGTTATATAAGGCCATCAATTTTACTGTTTTCAGTAACTTCAGTGTTATAGTTTAAGGCCATCAGTTTTACTGTTTTCAATAACTTCAGTGATATAGTTTAAGGCTTTCAGTTTTACTGTTTTCAGTAATTTCAATGTTATAGTTTGAGACTACAACTTTTACTGTTCTCAGTAACTTCAGTGTTATAGTTTAAGGCCATCAGTTTTACTGTTTTCAGTAACTTCAGTGTTATAGTTTAAGGCCATCAGTTTTACTGTTTTCAGTAACTTCCGTGTTATAGTTTAAGGCCATCAGTTTTACTGTTTTCAGTAACTTCAGTGTTATATTTTAAGGTTATCTAGTTTTACTGTTTTCAGGAACTTCAGTGTTATAGTTTGAGACTATTAGTGTTACTCTTTTTAGTAACTTTAGTGTTAGTTTTTAGTGTTTTAATATTTATTAATTTTTTCGAAGTGGGAATGCATCTGCCTGAGATTTGAGGAACCAGTAGTCTGCATACAGATGAGCTAGATCTGTCTAACTAAGGTGCACCAAAAAACTCAATACAAATAAACCACATCTGTCATATTGAAGTGCACAAAAAAACTCAATTTCTGGAACAAGACTAAAGTCCAGAAGTGAATGTATAACCAGAACTTCCCACAAGACTTTGCAGCTAGTGAACAGGAAGAAGAAGAAGGAGAAGTCGGACTTAATGTGCCTCAGCACATGTGGAAATGGATTTTTAAAAATGTCTGTGTGGGTTCTGGTCACCCATTTTAGGGAAAAGAAGCCACTACCCCTAACATGTTGACTAATTATCACCCTTTTATTAGGCAGACCCATTAAAAATAAATTACATAATAATTCTGCCTTAATTGCTTGCATTCCGACTCGTAAGCCAGATGCCGCGATCGAAACCCACTGCAGGCTGCGTGAATTATTGTCGTGGTATGGGACGTCGCAGGTCGACCCAGCCTAAAATAGGTACCATGATGGGCTTTCAATGACCCTAGAACATGTAGAACTGGCCCTAACCCAAACCATTCTACCAACAGCCTCAACCTAAATCACACGAGAGACTCTTTTTGAGAAAAAGCAGTACAACATGACACCCCTCTGACCTAGATCAGACTGAGAAAGTGTGTAGATGGGCCTGTAAGTGTGAACAGGTCCACTAAAACAATTACAGATACAATAAAAAATATTTTAACTGGCGCCTCAGCAGAATATAATGTTTGCAGAAAATAACAAAATGGTAAGCTGGGCTGGGCCTGTGTGCTGTATTTGTAACAATTTGAAATAATATTAGTTCATTAATATTTTAAAAATCTTGCAGGTGGTGCCTATGGTTACACCAGATGGACAGAAAGTATCACAAAAGATGGATCCATTCTGTGAACTACTTCTGGATGCCAGAGGAGGCAAAGGACGTGAGTACCACATGGACCTGGGTCAGTTCAGCACATATTTGCAGCAGCATGGTTGCGGACATGTCTTCAATTTGTTCTTTGGATTGGATGCCAGGCATGAGGACGGGGACTGATTTTAGTGGCATGATATTAATGTGGTTGTGAATTCTTGTTAGCAGGATGTAGGAGACAAACAGTGTTCTTTGACCACGTAATGAGAAGAGAGGCATTGGAAAACATCGTGACAACTGGAAAGATCAGTGGAAAGAGGGGTAGAGGCACACCAAGAGAGATGATGCAGGATGGGCTGAAACGATGGCATGGAGGGATATCATCAAGAGAGCTGTTCCAGGCAACCAGGGATCGTGATCTGTGGAGATGTATGAGTGCATATGCCAGTTGGCAAGGTACGGGATGATGATGAGGATTTATTTGTTAGAAAAATGTGAGTCATGTTGAGAAAATAATACAGTTGTTTTTATTAAGGACGCCTAGCCTGGAATCAAATCCCAAACCGCCACTGCTAAATAATACTGTATCTTCAAAGTGGGCATCTGTGGCAAACACATTACATAATGCCGAGGTGTCAGGTTTGATCCCTGCTTCAGGCGATATGGCAGCAGATGGCCTAGTGTTGGTTTCAACAGTGGGATCAAGATATTTTTTTATTTTTTTTAAATTAAGCAGTGACAAACTACTGAAATAAAGTTGCCTGGTAAAATCACAAACAGTCAACAATTGATGGGGCTGGTTCTTCAGCATCCGGCAAAGAACAGGCAGTTAACCATCAGTCACTGAGATATACCATTTACATGTAATAATTCTTGTAAGGGTTCAATGACATAATTTTTGGGGGTCGCAAATAGACCCGTGGCTCCTTGACAAGCGTGTTGTGAAATGCGACTGATGAACCCTTTCACCCCTCAAATGCGTAAAATGTTCCATGAACCTGTTGGAATTCCTTAAAATTCTATAGCAAAAAATAAACAACCAATCATTTTACATTATTGGGGAGCAGTGAATCTATTCCTTTTTTTCTCTTCAAAATGGGGCCCCCATTTTTTAACATAAGTTAACTTAGTAGTATATCCTTCCCAACATATCACTAACCAGTTCCAGAACATTTTTGGTTGTTTGTAGTTTAACTTGGCAATTTGGCATTCAATAGTTTGCCATTGCTTTACATGAGTAACAAGTGCCTTTTTATTGTATTGTTGCATTTATTGCGGGCAATGCTGTTTTTTTTTTAGGTAGCTCCAGAAATGTTACTTCTTTTATTATTATTCTGCAAATGTCAAATGCTCTCAGATGTCTGCACTGTAACTAATGTTTTAGCATTTTGTAGATTGCATTCTTGCTAATGTTTTGTATGTTTATGTGGAATTACTTTAGTTTGTAAAGCGGTAAGTACAGGAATGAGTTTTAATGACTCTTTCAGCCTATCATGTACCATCTGTACAATGAAAGTTGCCTGGAATGGCTCTCCAACTGGTTTTGTGTCTGCCGTGAATATAAAGTCTCTCAGACTATTGTTCCACCATCTCTTGGTGTTATTCTCCTATGTATATCGCTGTCTGTATCTCTTCAGTATGGTTTTTATAAGTGTTAAGTCTCTCATATCGCAGGAATATAGTGAGTTTCAGCACCTCTGTGTAAAATAAAACACACAAACATACTCTTTTAATTGGATTGTACCTTAGTTAATAATATTTTGATTATTATTTTTATATAATTTATTTATTTTAGAATTCTGATGAAAGTGAAATGGCATCTGCGTAAGTTGTATACTTCTGAATTAAAATTTTTAATGGAAGGTAGGGAATGGCGGACAACAGAGAGACAACAACTGTACAAAAAATGAACGGGAGTAGGCCATGAGGCTGACCAAGAAGACGGTGGATAAAAAATTGGCTCCCGTGTGAGTTCCGGGGCCCTATTGTGGGGAAAACAAGAATAGACCCACTGCCTGCCTAAAAGCATGTCGTAAGAGTCGACTAATTGGGAGCTTTCTTCGAGAGGCAAGGAACCAGCAGTCTGCATGCAGATAACTCAGACCTGTGAAACAAATGTACACGCAACACTCAGTTTCTGTAACAGGAGTGGACGAAGAATCAGAACTTTTCCGCTGGAGTTTACAGCCCCCAAATGCAAAGAAGAAAGAAGAAGAATAAAATATGTAAGTAGACCTACAAAAACTTGCAGTTACCTCAAGGACACATAATGCTGAGGAGGAAGAAGTAGTAGTGAAAGATAGTTTGTTATCCTATTTTCTGTTGTTAATTTCTGCTGTTAATTTTCTACTTATTAATTTTATGCAACTGGCTTTAGAATTATAGATAATAACACTGTTTGTGATCTGCCTGGACATAGGCTTATACAGAACAAGCTTGGAGTACTCCATAGCTCATCTATGTAGCTAACTTTCACGGCCAATCAAAAATATCAGCAACCCCTATATATATATAATCATAAATCTTTTGAATATTATTTCAGCACAGACTATAAGCCCCAGCAAAAGATAATAGTTTAAAACAGATTCATTACACTTACTATGCTTGGTGTTATTACTGTTTAGAAATGTGGGTATAATTAGAGCATATCCCAGCAACTGTGATTATGAATTAGGTGTTGGCATGTGTTATTTTAATGCTAACTGACATGTGAATTGAATAATGTATGAAATGAGTGAGGGCAAAAGGGCAGAATATAAGATAGACCTGAGTGCTCAATTCTTAACTGTTTGAAAATAAAGTTTTTTCATTCATTCGTTCATTTCTTCTTCTTCTTTATTAACCTGAGGACATAAATGGTTGTGCCCGTTTAAAACATGGCTGCAATTTGTGAGTCTTTTGGCCGGCACATCCAACTTCTGCAGGCATTTGTTGCCCAGGTTAGCCTTTCCAGGAAGTTTCGTGGGACAGTGCAGTTTCATCATTCTATGGCTTGGACATTTGACTTTGTGTTAGTGGGGTCTCCAAGAAAAGCAGAAACTTGTGATGCTATAACCTACCATGTCTTTTAGGCAACTAAGAAGGTTGGCATGAGACTGGCTACTTAATACTTTCAGACCCATGAATTTTGATAGACTTGGCTTTCATTAATTTCAATTTACAAAAATAGCAGAAGGGTTTTTTGGGGAGAAGGGGGAGTGTAGAATAAAGTTGCAATTGAGAATAAAATATTTTTCAAATCCTTACACAAGTATATATTTTTTTTTAAAGACGAATAAATATACAATTTGAATTTGAATGACCTCCGTGTGGGTTCCGGGGCCCCATTGTGGGGGAAAACAAAAATAGACCCACTGCCTCCCCAAAAGCATGTCGTAAGAGTCGACTAATTGGGGAGCTTCCTTTGAAGTCGGAGTGCATCTGCCGGAGAGGCAAGGAACCAACAGTCCGTATTCAAGAGAGTGAGATCTGTAAAACTGATGCACACGCAACACTCAGGTTCTGGAGCAGGACTGCAGTTCAGTAGTGGACGAGCAACCAGAACCTTCCGCCAGAGTTTACAGCTGGTGAACGCGAAGAAGAAGAAGAAGAAGAAGAATTTGAATGATATGTCAATGTTTAACTCTTTCTCTGGTAAACAACGCATTATGCTTGACTGGTCATCATTCATATGTACCCGTCAATCATGTTATGTATGTTTTTACCTCTTGTCTTTAGTGAGGGACTCTGAAGAACTCTGAAAACATATTTGTTTCCTACAAGAGGGGTATATTTGGCCTATATGGAAGTAGTAGTATACCAGTTAGTTTAGCATAACTATTTGTAGCTCTCTCAGACATCGGCTAGAAGACTGAGAGACTAAAAAAGTTGATGCTGTTATAGTTAGTACAAAAGAATTTATCAGGTGTTTTTGTACACAGTTTTGCTAAATATTTAATCATGACCTATGGTTTACATTCACAGAAGTAGTGGATATCAAAATCATCATTTCAATGTTTGTTCAATTTCCTATTTGTTTGGAAGTGCTTTCCTTCTATCACTTCTTAAATTCGGTAGCAATGGAACATTCTCTATGTCTGACTTGTTAGAACTGCTAGATTCTCTGATATGTGTGTATGTGTGTGTTGTCCATCAAGATGATGATGACCACTCTTTCTCATCAAGTATGGATACGAAGATGACTGATGAGGCCCATGCGGGCCTGAAAAGTTCTTGGACAGTGAGGACAGGGAATGAGTGTTGTGCCAGGGAGGGGATCTCCTGCAGTCGCCTTTCTGTCCATCCTTTTCTTAATCAGTCTTGCTGTTTGTTTTTTCTGATAACTGCTAGATCATTCCACCTAGTATGTTGTTGACTTCTGTGTGTAGAATGTTTCTGTTGCTGTTTACTGGGACAGGCATGGTCCCAGCCCTCTGCAACGTTACTGAGCCACTAATAAGAATACATTGCAGTGGCATTGATGGTGATGATGATTTTTAAACTGTTGATCTTGGTTATTATTTTGGTGGTGGTGAAATTGATAAGTATGGTGATGTTGGTGTGAAAATGGTGATGTTGGTGGTGGTGACATTGATAAGTATGGTGATGTTGGTGGGATAATGGTGATGTTGGTGGGATAATGGTGATGATGACGGTGACATCAGTAGTGATGAAAATAATGATGCTGGTAAAGTAATTATAGTTTGTTCAACTTTTCATGAACACAATTCCAAGCTATTTTCTCGAAAACTGCCCGTAGATCGCAACGATTTTTTTGGCATGCAGCCTTAGAATATCCATGATGCAAAAATAGTTGTATTCTTTAATCTTTAGTCCATAGATGACCAGGGTGCTGAAAATCAGCCAATTTCTGTGATCTTTTCGAACCATTGTAAATAAGTGGAGTGAACTTCTAGATTTTACAGAAAAAAATCTGAATTTCCTGTTCTGTTTTTGTGTCAGAGGCGTATCTTCATAATACATTGATAGGTGAAGAAAATTTATTTGTTGTCATTTATGTTCAACTGAGTTGAGTTGAGCTGAGTCAAGAAAGACATCACAATCGGGGCACTCTCGTATATGCTCCGTCCCCATCTTCAGCAGCCAGCACGCAGATTTTCAATACTAATGTACCGGACGCAGATTATATGTCGATCTTGGCATTTCTGTGAATGTAGTGTGTCGGCCAGGCCCTCTGGTCACAC